GATGTGTATCGTTAAATTGAGGCTATAACACAAGGTCCTCTTAGGTTCAATCGAGCTGCACCAAATGTCACACTCATATCAGTTCTCTAAATGTGCCTGGTTCTTATACTGAGACCATGAATTTTTGTTTTACCTGTTTGTTCTGAGTCATTAGATGTTTTTTTTCCCTTTCTGCTTTCATTTCACTGTTGTTGTATGAAAACATTTGTCCAGGATAATAATGTCCTGTTAAGATAAGTGAGACGATGATGGGACAGAGGGCAATGGATGAGGGTAGAGGTGAAGATGTGTATGGGTAGCATTGGTCGTAGAGTTTGAACAAGTGCCTGGAAGAGAGTAAAGCTAAAGGGTGTTTGTAAATTTGGAGGAAAGAGACATGGAAGCAATATCATATATAACACAAGAAAATGTTGTCAAAACTTGAATGTGTCTATGTTTAACTTTGGCCAATAAACATTAAGTTGAAAAAAAAAGGTACATTTATTATTTTCTGGGAAAATTGACGTTAAAGAAAGTTTTTAAAAATAACTGGATCAGGATTTGCACCAAATTTGAATGGTTTCTTTCCAGACCCATTTGCAAACTGAAAACTGCAGTGATTTCATGACATGAATATGCCGGAAGTTTTTAACTGTTATTATTATAATTTCGACGCAAGTCTGTTTAAAGATGGTGTCAAAACTAAACTGAAACAATGGAAGACTGTTTATTATTATTATCATAAATTGTACTTTTTAGCCATGGTGGAGCATCTAGCACGGCTGCTCCTCGCACTGTCTCTGATCGGGCTCCTGGTGACATAGATTTGAGGTAGAACAGGAACAATTTTAGTGGACATTTTAAATCCAGATGATTTATTCTCCTTCTGACGAGTTTTTACTGAGGTCTTTTGTGGCACCATGGTGAAAAGATGCTATTTGAACAGACAGGGGTAAAACATAACCTCCTTGGTGGTGGTAATAAAAAAGGCAGGTGCAGGATAGTCATACTTCTCTATTACGGTATCATTCTATTCTATCTTTGAATGGACTTTGACATGGTGGTTCTTGTTTACAGTAGAAATTTTAACAAAAATCCATACCCAATATGTTGAATATAATTGAAATGACTAAAGCACAATCAACAAGACACATACCATGCTATGTGAGTGACACATGCTATCTGACAGAAGTACATACATCTCCTGTACATCATGTCTGACATTCACAACCTTGAGTTTGGTTTGATTGTGTTCAGTAAAGATAATAAAGAGTGATCAGGTGAAAAGATGGTGAATCACCATTGCATGGACTTTAAAGGCTCTTTCCCTCTCGTCTCTTCCCTGTGATATACAGTATGTCCATGTCTGCTAATTAACAGTCATGAGTCACTCGTCCTATAAATAAATCCCCTGTGACAAAGCAAATCTAACCCTCCATCGCTGGTTCCCACAGTTCCCTCCACACTGCAGAGCAGGCAGCATTTAGGAATGAGACAAAAAGGAAAAGAGCGGGGAAAATGAAGGGAGAAAAAAAACCACAGTGGTGGTGGGAGTTTCCTTTGACGGGGCACCATTGCAGCATTTGCATATATTCAAATCAGGCAATGAATACCATGCATAGGGCGGCAAACAAAGACAGGCCAATGGGAGGGCTGCGTCCCTGCTGCGGGCTCAGAAGCAGCCGCCAGTATCCCAGCAGCACCCTGGGAGGGAGACAGGGAAGTGGTGTGGGAACCGGGAGGCCCCCGAGCCGCGCAGAGGGAGGGGAGCCACTTGTATTCCGCGGTGAATTAGCATTTTATTTGTGTCCATTTTCCTCAGTAATTTCTGCCACGCCACTTCAGCTACAGATGGCTAACATGGCAGAGGGATTAGCATTTGTGTAAAAGATGATAATGATGGAAGTGTTTTTCCACCCAGACAGAGACGTTTCTTCTCACAGTGTCAAAGGCGTTTTAGAGGTTGGGCAAATGTATACTTCTGAGACTTTTTCGGTTTGAGTCTATGGTTAATTTTGGCATTTAAAGAAAGTAAATATTAGAGGATGCTATGGCAATGAGTAAAACATACGTATTTCTCATACACAACAAGGTCATTAAATGCTTGAATACCATTTATCATCAGTCCATGTAGAGTATAATGTTTGTGTACTTATCTTCGGCAGCATAAAGAGCAGGATAAACAAGCACCTTCGTTCCACCCTTAAAGGCAATATGCAAAAATACTGATTAAAGCAAGATCACTTCATTTCCCCTCAGAATTTCATCGACTAATTGCCTCGGGGTAAAGACCAGGGTTGCATCAAAACACTCATAGAGATCAAAAAACCACACAGAGTATTCATACGGAGCTAAACAACTCATTTTATGTTGTTCGTGTTTACAGATGCCTGCCCAGCGGTGCGTAAACATGCCCACCAGAGATGCTGCTGCCTCGTCGCACAAAGCTCTGTTTGATTAAACTCGCAGCTCTCACTGAAATGTCACGGCCTCCTGCGCAAATTCAGGGGCCAAAGGATCAGACACATCTTCAGCAGAAGGGGTGCCACCAATTAGCAGGGAAAAATGGGAATTCAATCAAACTCGGGCAGACCACCCAAATAACATGGACACACATGCTAAACACAGATTTGAATGCGGTGAATGGTTTTGGTAAGAGATCTTCGGAGGGCGTGCTGCTAGAAACACTCGGCACTGTCGGAGGCATATGGGGCCTCTGCATTGTGCAGAGGATGAGCTGACATTATAATGCATGTACACAGTGTGCATGTGTTTGTGTGTGCGTGCGTATGTGTGCAGACAATCATTCTCATCCCGATTGACCAAGCATGCCACACATGTAGGATGCACCAATGCACCCAGAGTCGTCGTCGTTCCCCTACATTACTCCCAAAACACCTCATGGCTTATTATAATCTGCGGCTAAGACATCATCTCAATGCATTTAACAAATTACAAAGGAATCGCTTGGTTTTATACAGCACATGCTATACCAAACATGTTGTTGTTGTAAAGCTCTCTCCCACATTTTGATCCATCTTAATAGAAAAATAATTCTTTAATACATTTTTACATCAAAATACTGCCCTCCTCTTCTTTCCTCCTCTCCCTGGTGTCTGTGTGCTTTAATTCCTCAGCGGTGAGAAGAGATTTTAAACCTTGAAATTTGCATAATGTTTGTTTTCATCCAATGAAATGTTAAGATACATGGTGGTGGGAGCATAAAACGTGGAGATTATCATTAGCAGGGCGTTCAGGGGTGTTGAGAAAGAACAAGGAACTAAGTTGGATATAATCTTACATTTTAATTAGAAATGAGGAGCAGGGGGAGCAGGCTTTTAAATTAAAACTGTTGAACTAGTTTCCAACTGAATGTTCTATTCTTTTTCTGTTTGAGCAGAATAGATATGCCTGACCTAAAAGACAACTATTAAGACCCCTGTACACCTTCAAAAACACCTAAATGGGCACATGAATTTCAGAACTGGACCATAGAGCAATGGAGGAAGGTGGCCTCATCTGATGAATCTAGTTTATTTCTTGACATCTTGTGTATGGCTGGGTCTGTGAGCGTTGTTTACCTGGGAAAGAGATGGCACCAGGATGGATTATGGGAAGAAGGCAAGGCAGCGGAGGCAATCTGATGATGCGAGATGAAGAGATGAAACCTTGGGTCCTGGCATTCATGTGGATGTTACTTTTTCTCTTTCAGCAGGATAATATCCACTGCTGCACTGCAAAAACTGTTCAGGAATAGTAAGAGGGACATGACAAAGGGTTCAAGGAGTTGACTTGGCCATGAAATTCCTCAGATATCTCATCGAACTGGGCTGGAAAAGTGCACCCAATTCATGGATATCCCACTTTACAATAAACAGACCTTTAAGAATTGGATCCTAAAGTCAAGGTGCCACATCACAAGAAAACTTTGGAGGTTTGGTGCAGTGTATGCATCAGAGCTGATTTAACAGCACAAGGACATCTAACCATCATTATGCAGGGGTTTTAATTCAAGGGGGGGATAAAACTATATCAATAATTATCACAATTTAACTTTCATAAATAGCAATGTAGCAATGGTTCAATATAATCGACATGATCTTAATGAAGTATGTAAGTAGAGTAAGAGGTTGTGTTTATTCATTCTCTGTCCAGAAAGAAGAGTTTAAAAAACTGAATGAGGAGCAAAAGTCAATCTTTGAACTTAAAGACTAAAAGAAATAATAATGTGACATTAATCATGATAATTATTGATTATCATGATATTGATTGACATACCGGAGGCCTACCAGCGTTACCAGATGGGAAAGATTAAAGTATCGCACCAGAAGCTTAAAATTATCGTAACTTGAGGAAAAGCATCGTATGAGACCAGAGTAGAGATGGGATGCTCAACACCAATGTTTCCAAGTTGAGCCGACATTCTGAAGCACAGTTGTTTTGAAACACTGCAGCCAATAACTAATAATGTGCTTTGACAAGTGCTATTTAGTTAGCAGCAATAGACCCTTTTTACAGCAGCCATTTTGTGATTAGTAACTCCTGTGTTTACCGACTATTCCATGTCAAAATGGCTGCTGTAAAAAAAGTTGTATGGTATCAAAATCCTAATCTAATTTATAGGCTCCTTAATAAAACAATATGGAAAAATACTGTAAGTAATAGTTTTGCAATTCAAACTGATATAAAATTCAACAAGGATTATTTCAAATATTCAAACAAGACAGGGACTCAGCTTGAGGTCTCACTCATATCATGTAATGTTAATGTGTAACACTCACAAAAGTCACTACAGCAGCAGAATAAACCGACGAAACACAGAATTCGTGAAACCCAGGCGACTTAAAAATACTTTTAAAGCACAGTACTTAAGCACCGTGGCTACTTCCTTACCCCACTCCTCTGAGTTGTACCGCAGGAGTTCAATACACTCTGTTTCGGGCTGAAGGGCTTTACAACACGTAGAATTCACAGAGCTTTATCCGAGCACCTGAACGCAGCGCGTGACTCCGGTAGTACATCCGGGACACCGCTCAGATTCACGTGTGCTGGTGCAGCTGTCAGCTGGAGAAGAGGAGCCGCTGAGCACAGTTTGGCTTGAAACGCGTCTCTCCGCAGAGGAAATGGTAAAATCACAGCCTGCTACATTCACATGCTTTCCTCCGTGTCAACACTCTGCTGTTAAATCCACCAACGAGCCCATTCAGCCCGTGTTGCTAACTGCGGTCGGGGGCTGTATGCTAACGCTAGGTAGCTAGCTCACGCCTGCAGCAGTGACAGGTGGTGAAGTTTAGCTGCAACACGTTCTCTATTCGAGGTAGTTGAACGTGTTAGCTCACTTTCGTTCACTTTTAAACTGCTCGATTTTAAGCGAGTAGATTTGAATCTGTTAGCTTAGCTTTTATTGAGCTAAATCCACGTCCTGCTTGAACTTTCCTGTGTCTTGTGCTGAGTCAACACATTGTAGTGTCATGATGACAGACTGCCACAGTTGTAGACAAGGCTCTCCAGCTGCGTGATGCATTACACACTGACACACACTGACACACACACACACACACACACACACACACACACACACACAGACAGATGGAGCGTCTCATGTTAAGTGTTTCCTCTGACAGGCTCTGATCGGGGTTCAGCTCGTGGTCAGCTTGCTGGCTGCCAGCATCATGCAGAAGATGGCTCCACACTGCTCTTTTGCACGCTGGCTCCTCTGCAGCGGCAGGTACTGTCACAACTATAATCTGATGTGTGCATCTATATACAGGTTACTTGCTGTGCACTGTTTATATACATGTGGTTGCTGTTTTCTTCCAGTTTGTTCCGGTTCAAACACCCTTCAGAAGGAGAGCTGTGTGCGCTGGCCGGGAAGCAGATGCCCAAACAGAACAGGAGAGACAGGTGGGAGTCAGGGCAAAGTCACATTAATGCAACACCTCGTTCAGACTTGGTATTTACATCCATCCTGAGAGATCTGCTCTCAAATAGCCTGCACCAAGTTCATTTGTGAACAAACACAAATGCCTCAATACATCTCAGGTCGTCTGGAATGTGGCCATTTTCTTTTAGCTGTGTGAACTCACACATGTCCTTGTCCACGTATGAAGAACTGCTTTCTAAGCTCACCTTCTTTAACCTGCTACTGTTTCTCTAGGAACCAAACATATTTTTACTCCTTACAGTGTCATTAATTTGTCTATATTTTATTTCCAAATAATGGAAATCTGTCCACTGTAGCAGAATGTTGCGCCCTGCATTGTTTAATTCGCCCCTCCTGACACCGCTCACACTCTTTCGGGGCCTAGAGGAAGATATCTTCTAAACTACTACTATTATACTTATTGATCCTGTGCTCTTTGAAATAAAGTTGCATAGTTGTATTTGTTTCCTGTGCTTTACTTAACCTCTGAGCTAAATGCCCACTCCAGTCAGGCTAGCAAGTGTCTATTTTAGTTTTTATTACTCATAAAACTCCATAACAAATGCACATTTGTTTCTAACATGACCACGTGTTCTCTTTGTGTTATTTCCAGACGGCAGAATGGAGAAAGCAAGCCTCTCACTGTGCCAAAAGACATTGACCTTCACCTGGAAAAAGCTCCAGTTAATGTCATTGATGCTCTTGGTAAAACAAACACTGCCCTGTCGACACTATAGCGGCATTGTGCAAGTACAAACACTGCTTAGGCTCAGCTGTAGGCTCACAAGCAACCCAAAATGCATTTAAAATATTGTACTTATTATTGTTCCTCTGTCAAAGCATTGAATGAAATCTAATTTAGATCAACAGCTCGAGCCCAAAGAAGAATACTAATGTTCTTTTTGTCCTTGTTTCTACTCTCAGTTCTGCGCTTCTTCCTGGAATATCAGTGGCTGGTAGATTTTGCCATCTATGCAACAGGTGTCTTCCTGTTCACTGAGTGTTATTACAATGTGGTGGATGCCAGCAAAGAAGTCAATATTGGAGCTCTCTGGTGTGTCCTGACTGTTCTCTTCAGTCTGTATCCTTCAACTGTGAAGCAATCTCAAATCAAAATTTAACAGACACTCGTTGACTCGTAGGTGCGATTGTGAGTGTGTATGGTTGTTTGTTTCTGTATGTTGGCCCTGCGATACCCGCTTCTCTGGGATCTGCTCCTCACTATCGTGTACAGTATGGAGACTATGCAGTATGGATGAGTACTGCTTTGTCCTTACCATAGTTTGTCCTTAACCTGCAACACTCAGAAAGACCCTTCACACTCTGATGAGTCACTATTTCCGCTCTGAAGAAGGCGGCGAGCGGTCCGTGTGCCTCGCCTTTGGTTTTCTGTCTCTGCTCATCGCCATGCTGGTGCTGGTGGTCAGAGAGGATTACCTGGAGTTCGGCCTGGAGTCGGGCTTTTCCAACCTCTTTGACAACTTGGAAATCTTTGCCAAACAGCAGGGCTACGCTGACTGGTCGTAAGTACAAATCCAACCAGTGACTGAATGACTGCTTTCCAAAGCTGAATATGAGACTCACCACTTTAGCTTAGTTCACTGCATGGGTCAGTGCCAGACTGTTATTGATGTATCTCTGTGGTAGCTAACCGTTTGTTGTTGTTTTGACTTCAGAATCCCAGTGACGAAGCTGACGGTGAAGCTTGGTCTCGCCGCTGTCTGTGCCTACATCGGCGCTCTGCTGGCTTTCCCTGGACTGCGACTGGCTCAGACTCATCTTGATGCTGTACAGATGAACTCAGACCGACCACTCATCCAGTAGGACGCCATCAATTTCCACTGCAAAAAACTGTCCTTCATGCCTTATTAGGGGAACAAATATTAGTATTTAGCTCTTAGCGGTGTCCCTAATGTTTCCCACAGGATTCTGCTGCAAATAAGTTTCCTGTCTCCAGTCATTGTATTGGTTCTCTGGGTGAAACCCATTGCAAGAGACTTCCTGGCCAACGCACCCCTGGGGAAGACCTCTGTCACAATGTGAGAGCAGATACACGCAACATCAATTCTCTAAACTAAAACAACGATCAACAAATGCAAGGTTGCGTCCAAACAGTGTCTAATGGGTATCTGGCTTGTGCCGACTTTTTGCTGCTCCTCCTCTCCTGCAGAGTTCCCAGTGCAGTATTCGACAGCATGCGTCTGTGGATCATCGTGGTGCTGTGTGTGCTGCGCTTAGCACTGACTCGCTACCACCTGCAGGCGTACCTCAACCTGGCTCCGAAGTGGGTGGAGCAGATGAAGAAGGAAGCGGGACGCATCGCTGCCATTGACATTCAGAAGAAGGTCAGACCCTATATTTATGTTTTATGTAATAAATGAGCCATAAACATGTAAATTTGAACAAATGAGAGTTGAGTTTTTGGTTTACTTTTGAGTTTAGATTTTCAAACTCTGTAATGTAACGTCCTGTTTTTCAGGTTACACGTGTGTTTTGCTATCTGACTGTCATCACTCTCCAGTATTTGGTTCCTATTTTTCTAATCCTCTTTTCCACACTGTCACTCAAGGCACTAGGTAAGTAAAATGCTACTCTGTATTAATGAAAGATCCTCTGTTTTTTAGAATAAAGTCTGGAAATAGCTGAAATGGCTACAGCTTCAGACCAATATATATAGTAACTGATCTTTTATGACCCCTACAGGGGACTTCTCTTGGGGAACAGGTGCAGAAGAGATCCCCGGGGTCACCCCGGCTCTGGTGATGCCCACAGCGGCGCCTGTGCTCCCTGGCAGTCTTGATGATGATGAAGAGGGGGTAGAGGACATGGAGGAAGACATCCAGGCCACAGTAGCTCACCTGTCGGCGACCTTCACAGCGCTGCGGTCTGTCCTCACTCCACTTTTCTTCCGAGGCTTCTTCGCCTTCCTCACCTGGTGGGTGGCGGCCTGTCAGGTCATCAGCTCTCTGTTTGGCATCTACTTCCACCAGTACCTCATGCAGAACTGAGGAAACCAGAGCGCCGTGCTGCTGTACCTGCAATGCAACCATAGCCCTCAGCTATTGTTGTACTGTTGCATTGTGTTGATGCTGCAGAGGTGGGACATTTCATTAAAACACACAACTAGAGACAGAATGCTCTGATTTTTGGTTCGAACAGAAGAACTGAAAAAACAGTAGTGGGCACTGCAGATTTGCTCTATGACTTTTAATGACCAGCATACTACTGGTATCAATATACAGACAGAACTGGAGCCTGTATCAGGAGGCAGGTTAACTTAGTCTGGCTTTCTTTGGGTTTCCTGGCTTTACTCTGTCCGAACAAAAGTGTCACAAAGCTGGATAACAACTGTCTCACTTCCCTGTGAGTTGACTGATCCGGCTATGAGCATGTTCATACTTCCAGCTGTGGGAAGACGAGGCTATTGCAATAGAACTACATAATGCTCAGTGAAGTGAAATATGAACAGATCGGCCACAACAAAACAAAACGTGATGTCTGGCAAAACGTTGACATTCTGACCCATTCACTCAGCAGTAATGACATATTATTACATGAGTATTTGTGTATCCCATCATGAATACTATCTTAAAACTTGACCTTCATTTCATCATCAGCTAAACACGTGTAATGCTTTGTTCACACACAATCTTTCTGAACCACACTATATACACACAAGACAATACCAGCCACGCCACATTTTAGCTGCTGATAATCACTTATCAAGTACAATAGAATAATAGACTGTAGAAACCATTCAATGTTGTCAAAGTGCAGCTACAAATAAATGTACAAATTATAACTTAGGCCTTAAAAATATGTTTTGTGGTTTAATCATGTTCACTAGTTAAATTGTTAAAAGCGATAAGCTTAAAAACATTAATTGAAGTTCCTCCTTCTGTTAAAGCAAATAGATGTATAAAATAGAAGTAAATGCTTGATCTGACTGAAAATGATGCACGTTATATCCTGAGATAACAGATTAACAGTGAGCTCAGTGCTGTGTACAGTCAATATGCAGCTATAATCACTATTGAGGTTGTACATGTAGTAAACTATTTGTTAACTAAAAGTATGTCAACAGGTGATCATATAAAATCGTTTATTATATCGCTCATAGCCAAAGAGAAGATTATATATTTTCTATTGCAGTTAAAAGTGAGCCTGTTTCATGATATCAAGAAATCCAGAGTCAAGCCCTAAGACAGCCAACTAACCCACTAATCTTACTTTGTGATTATCTACCAGTTACTTCAATAAAACATTTTCTGCATTTTATCAGACATATCTATGCCAGTGTTCCCCACATTGTTCTGACCAGACCATCAAATGCTGCATTTAAGATATTTAATAATACCAGGTCGAGCATTAGTATTTGTCCCAGTGTAGAAAAGACACTTTATTTTTATGTTATTTTAAAGGGATGTTTTGTCTCACTTAAGGAACCGATTTAAGAGTGCTAAATGTTTTTTTTAATGATCTTTTTCTGCTTTTAATGCTTTAGTTGTGACGAAGTAGTAAATCTCAGATCCAGCCTATTGAATTTAAATGCAGCTGAACATGCATCAGTGAAAACTGAACTTGAGCTTTTCTAAACAAGTCTCCTTCGGATTTCCTAAGTGCCTGGGAGTTGAGGGATTTAAAATCTCCTTCCTCCTTGTTGATATATATAATGAGAATGAATGCAATCTGTTGACGGATGAAACACTCCAGACTCAATTGTTTTACTTCTCATTTTTGCAACATTTGTAGTTGCAGTGACTTGAGCTGAATTTACTAGTTTTATTGCCAATCAGTTGTGTACATGTAGCATTCAATCTAAATAGGTTTTGCATTAGTGTGTTGTATTTATTTATTTATGATACATTCACTACTGTCGTTTAGAATGATACAAATGTTTCAACCCTTTTGTTTGTGGCACGCTTTTGGTTTTGTGTTTTTGTTGTAGGTAGCATATTTGAATTGAACGCTCTGAAATCATCATACTGTGAAGGTCATATGAAAAAGTTGCTTCTTTTTTAAAATATTTTTCTGAATGCATGGTGTGCAAACCTTTGGCTGTAACCTGAACATTTTAAGTTTTGTTTGTATGGCTTAATAAAAAAACATTATGATCACGTCAGTCTGATCCACTGAGGAGCGTGGGAGATGTCGCTGATAAAACATTTCCTTTTCAGGATCGTGGCTGCGATTTGACAAAAGTCATCACGCATGACAATGGAGCGTCTCGCCGCTGTGCCGGTCCCTGACCCCTGACCCCAACCTCCTGAGAAGATCATTCTTTAATCACTGTTAATTACTATGAACCCCATTCCCCCTGAAGCCCCGGGAAGAAATATGACCCAACAGCCAAGATGAACAGTTTTATTTCCTGAACGTTATTTCACACAAATTGCATCCAAATACCCCCCCTTTGTCAGTGCAGGCTAAAATCATCCAAACTCAATTTAAAAGCTTAATGACACTATCAAAACATTCACACATTTACACACTGGCCTTGAAACCAGAGTTAGAGAACGTGACCTTTCTCCAGAGAGAGACTGGAGACGCTCTTTTGTCTGAACGCTGACATGATTTATGGTTGATATCATTCGACTTCCACGTCCAATCAAAAGGGTCTTTTCAAACTTTGGGCAGTCTGGGGTGGCCACCTCGCTTTATGTGCGCAGGGACATTCTTCATTGCACGATAATCGCAAGTACAAGTATGAGAACTTCGGGAGGGCACCAGTTAACAAAATTTACACCTCATATATTTTATGATAGTTGACTGAAATAAAGGATTTAGGATGTTGTGCGTCTGTAGCAGAACTTCATAGGGTCATAGGAAAATAAAAACTGTTGGGACATGTTTGTCACTTAAAACATGTGGTCTCACAGCAACATGATTCCCGGTTCTCGTCTCATTTCAGCCAGGGCCCTAATTTATGGTTTTTCCTGGTACTATGGCTTCCTCCCACAATCCAAAGACATGTTAATTGGAGACTCTAAATTGACTGTGAATGGTTGTTGGCCCTGTGATATGCTGGCGACTTGTCCAGGATGTACTCCACTCGGCCAATGTCACCTGGGATTGGCTCCATTCGGCCTAATGAACTGAAAGGTGATAAGGTTGTCATATCTTTAAAATCACATTGATTATGTGCAAGTCTTGGAGGCCAAGTCAGACAGCCATGGCGGGTTGTGGTTTCCATAGAAACTTGCGTGAGTGTTTACAGGACCCAGACGTGCCCCACGGTCTGCGGCCCGGCCTCGTCTCAGGGGAGCAGCCCAGACGTGACCCCAGTGAGAGCCTCTTTTCATTTAGGGGGGAGAGACGACAGAGATGGGCCTGTCCAGGGCTCCACTCGGCTTTTTAGTTGAAATGGAAAGGAAGCCAACTGCTCTGCAGAGGCGAGCATAAGGAAATGTTCAGGCATAGTTACACCATGAGACGACCAGCTGTATGAAAGAAATGTGTTTTTTTTGAAGACATAAAGGTCTCCAGGCTTTTAAGTAACATCCGTGTTCCTCTCGTTTGGTGGCTGCGTTTTGAGCTGCCTGACAGGGGCCAGACAGGATAATGAGGGAATGTGTGCAGGTTCAAAAGACTGGAACCGAGGTGAATAAGACTAAACAAATGGACACATGAAAGCGTGATAGCCACACAAAAGAAGGCATTTTATCTGTCTTTGTACTGGATGTACATGAAGAAAAAAACTGAATCACATTTTCCTCTCAAAAGAAAAAAAATCACGTCCTTTGTAGCAGTAAAAAAGAAAAAAAAGCAGAGCCAAGCAAACATACAAATCAAACAATTTTTATTTGAAAGGAATCACCACAAATGTCAAATAAAAAAACTGTCTCTGTTCTGCTAGTAAGCGTTCAGCAAATATATAAACAAAATCCAAAACATCAGAATACTGATCAAATTGTTTTTTCATGCTGATAATAAACCACATAACTGCAAAAGGAAAGAAAAGCTAATCCCACAGCAGCACTTGAACTTGAAGTCGTCCCCCAGCCACTTCACTGGGTCTGCACAGTTTGCCATGACGTGTTTGTTAAAGTCTTCAGGGTGAACCACTAATCAATCACAGACACTCATTAGATCATTAATCACAAATAGTTAAGGCTGCTCTGCAATTTAGAAGATGACCCCTTGTGGACAATAAGCGTAAATTAATTCCGATCCAAAAGTACTGCATATCTAACATTTTGCAGGACACAAGTTGAATATGTTAAAAACACTCAGATGTCACACAGTGCAAAGTAAAGTTATGTGTAAAAAAAAACATAATTTGTGTTTTTTTAAAGAAATATTCTCTGAATAATTTGACACATTCATTACGCAGCGTCTCATATATTTCTAAATATCAATACACACTAAGTTAAGCCCTTCAGAAAGAGGAATCGATAATATTGTTATATCATATAATAGACCTGCTATAGATAAATACATACATCTTTGGGTGTTGCAGTATCTGATTGTGATGCATGGGCACTGTACTCAAACACTTTGGTCTTTATTTAAAGCAGATTGTCATAAATTTTAGTATTGAATTATATATTATATATTTAAATTAAAAGGATGAAACTATTATTATTTGTAAGAATAATATAAACTGTAATTTAGCTTATCCACCACTATAGTCTTACATACAAACATGGAAAGAAAAGATATCTTAAACTTTGTTTTAAGGAAACAATCAATCAAATTCCTGAGATCCACTGATGCCCAGATTTTGAAAGGATCAGTTCACATTTTTTTTCAAACATGTCCATGTGTACAAGTGCAGGTCACCCTAAATGTTCCTCCTATCACGCGAGCCCTGAAGAGATCACGTCTTAATGTGACGCCACAGCAGCTCATCAGTCCTCATTACCTACAAGGAGGTTTTCATCTGTGTTTGTTTGTTTGTTTGTGTGTTAGTTAGCAGCATTACGCAAAAACTACTGGACAGATAACCACGGAACTTGGTGGAAGAATGTGGTATGGGTCAGGGGGCCAGCTAATTTTCTTTTTCACTTTCTTTCACAGGACGCATTTTTCCACATTTTCATTGATTTCTCAGAAAATAATTCATGGATCGTGATGAATAAAATCAGACATGTTCAGGGGACTGATGTTTATTAGTGTGTGGAATTTAGTGCAGCTCCAAATAAAAATCTGGATCTGGTGAATTTAAATGTGGTTTCATAAATTGAGCCTTGGTGGAAGTATGTGCACTCTACTGAGTGAGTTCTAGGTTTGTGTAAAATCTATTAAATCTTAACAGTATCTTTTGTGCAAAACTTTCTTTGTATTTGATTGAAAATAACTTAATTATTTGAGAGATATCAAATAAACTGGACATCCCCTGTAACTAACGCTGCCTAGGGAAATTTGTATTAAAAACCTCACTTGGTTTGAGTTGGCCATTAGAGTCTCATACTAGCTGAATTTTAGAATGAATCATTATGCTGAATGAATGGATTTTGTCATTTCTAAATTAGAAATGCCTTATAAAGGAATCTTTTCACAGCCGGGACCAATTACAGTGACTACAACCTGAAAAATAATATGCTACTGTCCATTAAGATGTTCAGGCTCATTTCATTATTTCAAACAAGGCCAAGGCTCCAGTGATGTAATGTTTAACTTTGTTTTAATGTGGGGAGACCATGTGGCTGGTTTGGGGCTAAAGGCTAAAACACATGTAAAGTACTGTACTAAAAGGACAGTGTTTCTTCTGGCTGGTGTAAAGAGTCTTTTCCAGTTCCCATCTGCTTTTCATTGTAACATTTATACTAAGACAGTGTAGAGTGTAATTTTACATCTATTTACCAATTTACACGCCAAACCTCAAACACTGGAGGCCGCTTTGAAAGCCAAATATATACGTCCACATTTTTGGGAGAAATTCAGTTGGTCCCACTGTGCTGCTGTGACTAACTTCAATAAAGTCCCAGAACAAAACAAACACATTTCTGATTGTATTTTCTTTTGATTCACATTAAACTAACCAAACAAAAAGCTAAATATCTGTATCAAGTGATGCAGAGAAAAAATTTGCCCAGGAGAGTCCAGCTCTGTGTGATGAGACAAAGAGAGGATGTTCCTCTCTGGGAAGATGGGGACGATCAACCCCACCTCGACATCTTCTGTGTACGTGTGTGCACATGTGTGTGTGCGTGTGTGCATGTGTGTGTGTGTGTGTGTGTGTGATTGGAAGATAGCTGTGTGAATGCGACATGGTGGTGCTTACAGTAGACTGCAGCAGTCAGCTATCTGTGCCAGCCATCACTCATCTCTAACTGCCTGAGCGGCTGCCCTCCTTCCTTTTCATCCTGTGGGAAGCCGGCTTTGGGATACTCCTTCATCTCATTGGCCGGCAGGGTTTCTGGAGGGCTATGGCAGGCCGAGCCCAGGTCGCTGATTGGAGAATGCTGTCTGAGGTGGTGCAGAGGAGGGGAGGTGGGCGAGGACCTGTGCTCAGGAGAGCTGCGCTCAGATTTGATGCTGAGGGTCAAGGAGGGCAGATGTGGGGAGGCTGAGGAGCAACACTGAGAAGGGAAGGAGCACCCTCCGCTGGACATCCTGGAAACAGCAAGAAGAAAGACAAAAGAAGTGAAAAAGAGAAAGACTTTGAACAAACACCCACAGTTCTCTAAATACGCCTTATCTACCAGGTCATTTTTAACCGTGCCATTTGAAATTACTTATCAGTTTAAACTAGGACATTTCTAATTCTCACATTTAAACACCAATAAATAGAAAAAACCAGTAGAAACCAAAGAATGTACATGAATGTATGAGTCAATGTAGGAAAACGAACCTAAAATAAAGAACATAACAGTTTGAAATTTTAAAATCCCACAGATTGTACACTCTTGGCAGATACCATGCCATAAGCATTAACGCAGCCAAAATAATTGAAAAATTGAAAAAGCCAGAAACGTCCCCAAGCAGCGCTGAGGGTTAACACACACAGGCACACAGGTTTCTAAACCACTATTTTTTATTTCACGTGCATATTTTTTATTCAATTTATCTAACTATTTACTTTTTATGTATATATTACATAAATTTTTTTAGGTAGGATTTCTTTTTCTACATTTACATTCACTTTTTATTTGATCTATTTATTACATTTTTACTAAA